GTATGGTTCCATTACTCCCTGATCATCATAATCTCTTCAGTGTTATGTGATCACTTGCTATAAGACTCTGCATTTTTACATTTTCTTTATATGTAGAATTGGGGCCAAGAATTGGGAGGTTTTTTTATGTTCTGATATGATTGTAGCTTTTTTTTTTTTTTTTTGCTGCAAATGTCAAGTGAGTTTAGCTCTTGTTTTGTTTTTACTGATTTGAATGCATGAAGACACGCTGTACCTAAATTAAGGCAGCAGAGGAGTTGCCAATCAGTAATGAAGGTGCTCTGCTATTTTAACTGTGTGGGTGCTTAATCATTTTCCATAATAATCCTCTGCTTTAAAGTGCAAAAGAAAAGGGATTCCTTGAAGGGGCATTGTGCTTTTCTGCAGAGAGGGAAACATGGCATCTTTTAAGTAATGGAGAGATGCTTCTCTCATCTGGTGCCTTAATTCTGAGTAGATAGTTTACAGGAACTATTCCTACCTAAATACTGGTTTTCCTCTTTTGACCTCAGAAAACTTTAAAACAGGGATAATGTCGCAGAAAGAGCAGCTGAGGCACAAAAAAAATTGAAATACCCCAAGCAAGATAATGCAGTATGTCCACAGTGGATCTAAGAATAAAATTCCTGTCTCCCGAGTCCCAGGCCAAGGCCCTACCTTCTAGGCTAGTGGTTCTTGATGTTTTTAGGTAAGCCTCACTGCTACTGCTTCCCTCTCCCCTTGCTCTTCCGTCCCCCTCACCACTGATTGCTGTTTCCTCATCTGCCTCCCTCCCTCCTACTTCCATAACCCATTTTCCAGACCCAACCTATGTCCTTGTCATTTCCCACCTCTTCTCCCATCACCCACTTGCACTGACACCACCACCACAAAGCATGGCTCCTACTGAGCTTATCTGCTTGGGCTCAAGCCGTGCGTCTCCTGCTCGCTGTGCTGTGACTCACTGTCAGCAGCTTCTGCACAGGCTGTGTTGTCCCTGCTGAGCCCTCCGAGTCCACGAGCTGTGCAGGAATCCCAGTGCTGTCTGAGCCACCACAACTGCAGTGCTGTGCCTTACGCTGACTGAGGAATCTAACCAGTGCTCCATGGGCAGCAGAGAAACCAGTGGAAGCCTCGGAGCATGCGCTCTTGATACTTGGTACTTGGAGGTATTTGCACCCTAGGTAGTTGCCTAAAGTTTTTTAAGTGGTCAGGTGAACGCTGCAGGCTGAAAACCTGTGTTTGTCAGCCTGACCCAGGACATACATCTTTCCATGGTGGCAGATGAATGTGCTTTGGTTTAAAGCAATTGCTTTGTTTGGTAAGGAAAGAAAGTGAAGAGATGTAGTTCTGGATCCGTTTTCTAACTTGAAGTTCAATCCAAATTCAGATATTGTTCTTGATTGCAAATAAGCATTTGCAACCCTAATAGATTCTCTCCTAAGAGAGAAATATTGCATCTGTAGTCCTAGATGAATGCAGAGGCTTTGGGACTTCTGAACAGACAGGTATTTTACGCCCAAGCTCAAATAAGTGAGTGACTTAAAAATAACCTGCACAATTTAAGCACATTCTCATGAAGTGAAGTTAGTTTGTGTGTGAGCTCAGAGACAAAGTTGTTTCCAGGATATATATATGGAAAGCTGAGAGGTAGGCAGCCTTGTTTTGAGACTATGAAAAGGATATGCAGAGTGGCAGGGTAATAATTGCACTTATTTTTTTTTCTTCAGGATATCTTTTTTTATGAGCAGCTCTGTGCTCAGCTCCTTGCTGCATGCCTTTGCCTTAGCCCCGCTGGCTCTCTTCTTTCTGTATTTCAGTCTGCTCATTTGTCCTAGCAGCCATTTGTTTCAGTGATGTATTTTCTTTTTGGCCCTGAAACTTTAAGGAGAGAGAAGGCAATTTAGGTGAAAAATCACTTTATCCAGATTAATGACTGCTGCACTTGACTGTTATCACAGCGGCATTAGCTAGATGATTTTTTTTTTTTTTTAACAGAAACCATTTCAGGTCCTTACTGTCTGAAATTGTAGTTGTGGAGACACACTGGGCTGGTCCAGAAGAGACAACTGCCACTGTGCCATCAGAGGAAAAGCTCTACGTGTAGAAGGTAATAAACTGCTAATGGCCAGTGGGCTCAGATGGAGGACCAGCATCTGGGCCTCCAGCCGTGAGTCCATTGCTGAAAGCTGAGTTTGCAGAGGAAGAAGCCCAGATGTTCATTTCCAGCAGGAAACAGTGTAACTGAACTACAGAACATGCTTCTGCTCTTACTTGCGAGGGTGTGAAGTTAGAAGAAGGTGGCATAACTGCAGGCCTGAGATCAGAATCTAGCCACATGTGTTGTTCTAATGCTTTCATCAAGACATATAGCTCCTGTGGGAGTGGGCACGCTTGAAGGAATTAGTGTTTTAATCATAATACCCCAGGAAAAGCTCCTTAAAAGGAAGGCAGCTGGGATGGTGTGGTAAATTTCTGTTAGGATTCAGTGTCAGGATTTGGTGGGACGGCTCTGGAAATTTTTCCAGTCGTCTCCCTTTCCCTGTGTTGTCAGAGGTGCCACTGTTGTGCAAGGGCATCTCTGGGGTCAGATGGACCTTAAGCTTTAGAGCATCTCCTGAAGGGCAGCGGGTGGGAAATGCTGTTCTGTTTCTGAAACATTTGTAGAAGTCATCCAAAAGACATGGTTCCCTCGGATCGGAATAAGCTGAGAGGATACCAAAAGGAAAATGGGACTGGTAGGTGTGAACAGTAGCACAGAATGACAGTTGCCTCAGGGCATGTGTGCCCAACCTGTTAGCTAAGGTTCATGTATATGCAAAGTGCCATGGAAGGGTAAGACCTATGTGGGATTCACAGAGCTGAGTTGTTCCTTATGGCAACAGAGAATCTGAGCTGTCTTCTCGCTATGCCCTTGAGTTAAACTAAAAATGAGGCAGATAAATCTATTTCTGGGTTCTTAATACATTATAAGAGGAAAAGTTGTTCATTAGGCAACTTTTGAATCCTGGATTAACCTCAATTTTACCTCTGGAGGTAAGAAATTGCCCATTTATCAGCTGAAAATAACAGCATAGAAACAGTGAGAGAAAAATAGTTCTTGGGAGAAAGGATAGTGAACTGAAGTTGGAATCAAGTACATAATGCTACACCAAGGACTACAGAGGAGTTTTCTAATTGCATACAAATTCAGATTGTCAGCTTTTCTTCTATTCCTAAAATATGGCTTGAGGTCTTCCTTGATTCTCCCTTTGGAGCAGAGTTTTGTGAAGACAAGATCCAGCTGCAGGGGTTTTGTTTGTTTATAATTTAGCACTTACCAGAGCCTTGAATGTTTCTTCTGCTTTTTTTGGGTTTATTCTTTACTTCCTCCAGGCCACAGGGATAGTATTCCTTTACATTTCCATTCTAATCAGCGGTCATAGATGCTGTAGCTTGCCTAGAAGGTTGCCAGCTCTTCTGAAGTTCCTCACATAAGGATGAAGGTGTATCCTTCCTTACAGAAGTACTTCACCAAAAAGGCTCAAGCAACTAGAATGCTGCTGACACATAGTCCATAGCTGTCATTTGTAGCATCTAAAATGACATTTCATCCCACTCTGTTTCTCAGTCCTCACTGCTACATGTTTCGTGTGGCAAATAAGGGGCGACTCGGGCACCCGCATCTTTCGGTTTCGTGTTGGGTGGGTTGCTGTGGGTCAGTGAAGAACAAGTGGAGGACAGGGCCCAAAGAAGAAAAACTGGATTCATTTAATCAGCTAAAAAGACAAACTTTTATTATTGTTGAGGAGGGAAAAGGAAGATACCTAGATAATTATAGGGTTTTTAATCTTTCCTCATAAAATTACTAATGGTGTGAATTCTTCAGACATCGGTTGTATCAAGTGTTTGCAGGCTTCATTTATTATCTACTAACCAAAATTAGCATTGTAGAACCAAAGCAATACCAAGCTTTTCTCCTACATTTCTGTTGAGAACACTGTATTTATTCAAGATTTTAGAAGCAAGTCTCTGGAAACCCCTGATCGCTTCAGAAAAGGATTCCCCTTTACACTATACAGCAGGCACTGAAACCATGATACAAAATTTATTTCATGCTAGAATTGTTTTGCATAACATTGTGCATGCATTTTACTCAGTACTAAATTGCATACAATGCTGTTGTCTTGTTTCTTAAACTTTGAGACCATTGATAACTTGAGTATTTTCCTGATTTTGTACTATAAGTCCCAGTTTTAAAATAACACCTCTGTTGTTTAAAATTCATACTGATTACTTAATATGAACAATTTTATGGAGGGTCTTTACGTTGGATCTATACATCAATAAAATACAACATAACCAGAGCTGGAAAATTAAATCTAGACCAGCTGTTACTGTCAGGTCCGAAGGAAGGTCCCATGTGTCACAAGCATGCCAACAAAAACAGACAGGAAAAAGTTTTTTCTTATTTTTATACACTTCTAGTTGGATTAAAAGTTCTTGATTTCCATGTCGGCGTGATGATCTGTGAAGGCGTGGTCAATATGACCGATGACTGCCTGATTGCACTTTTTAAAACCATTACTCTGTATCTTGTATACAAAAAGAAGCGATCCATAGCAAAGAAATGTACAGTTTTATAATGTTTTACATTTTGGCTACAACAATGTATGTAAAAGTAAAGAGCTTTGAAAGAAAATATATAACTTTGCTTTTTTTTTTTTTTTTCTCCTTAATCTTACATTTGAAGTGTTTCTTGGTTGTTGTTTTTTTTGTTTGTTTTTGTTTTTAATTTTTGTCTTCATGCAATTCATGCTATGGAACAAAAAAAAAAAAAAAAAAATAGATTAAAAAACCAAAAAGGATCTTCTACAGTTTTGTTACATTTTGGCCGTAGAAAAAGCCTGCATCTCTAGTACAACTCCAAACCCACGAAGAATCATCCATAAAACCTGCATGGAGCGAGATAACTTTGTCCAAATGAGAAGGTCTTCTGTGCCTGCACAGTTCCACACAGATGTTTATTAGCCATCAATGTTCATCTCCATCTTGCCTTGTCAGGTCACTCTGACTGCCTCTGTTGGCATATATTTAGCAATGACTGGACTTTCTTTGCAAAGATCTGCATGTAAAGAATACAATCAGTACTTGAGCTTCTTCCCTGCGCTTTTCACATCAAGCTCGGCATCTTAGTTTTAAAGGAAGGAGGAAAAGGTGAAATAGCTACATGCAGAGGCAGCCATATTCTTCTTCAACAGGATTTTTTTTTCCATGCAGCCAGACCGAGACCTCTCTACAGTGTGTCTGAGTATTGCTTTCAGCTTAAAATAGGCGCCCATGCAAAGTTTCATCCTACTGTGCTCGTTTGCTCAATCTCCTGCAGGGTTCCTATGGCTCAAAAATATCCTGAGAAAAGCAAAATCTTCCATCGTTGGCATGTTTCAGCATCGACTAAGTGCCTAACCCATTCCATACAGAGCCAGTAGATCCACCATTAGCCAAAATAAGCACATACTAGCAGGATGCACCAGGAAGGAAACTATCTGGTGCATCTACCCTTCGTCCTATGTACTGACACCATGCAGCACGTATGGCCCGCCAGTACTACGGAGATGCCTGCCTGCTGCCATCTGAGTGCTATCGGGAGTGTTGTCACCTAGCATCAGTGGTAACACCCTTCCCAGCAGGTGCTACTGCGAGACATTGCATCTTCAGACTTAGTCACCTGGATTATATGCAACATAGCATAGGCTAATTGAAAATAAAGCTTTTTAGACCATTCTCTGCTACTGATCCATGCTACAATATAGATGGGATGGGAGACCAAGAACGTCTCACTGGACTAGGAGAGCTGTAGGGCGCAGACACTGAGGATAATCCTATCGCTTTTCCACTTATGCCAGCTATGCTGTTAAGGCTCCGTGACATTTCGTAACCTTCATTTAAAAGAAAAATGCAAAGTACAGCATTGGATCAATGACAGAATGGACTAAGAATGAGGTCAACATTGTAGCCAGTTCAAGAGCATCTGCATGCACGGACATGCCGAGAGTAGTATCGCTCGCAACGTGACCCAGAAGGCCACTGAAGTACAGAACGAGTTTTAAAAAAATATACTTTAAAAAAGAAAATAATCGTTTCTCAAGGATGGCCAGGCTATGGATTTGATCCTACAGGCAGCAACATGGTTGTATTCTAAAAAAAGACAGTCAGTGGGAGGGATTTTCTGTCTCAGCCACACACTCACACATACCTCTCCCTTCTGCTTTGTGCATTTTGACCTCAGGCAAAATTAAGGTTTCTGGTATCTGGGGGCAAGGGAGGGGGGAAAGGCAGTGAAATTCGTAGAATTTATTGTGTTGCTATAGAGATACTACTCTTTTGTTCTCAGCATTTAAAAAAAAAAAATAAAAAAAAACAAAATTGCATGCATTTGGTTTCCCTCCCCACTCCCCCCTCCTTCCCCCTCTTCTTTTTCAGACATGCACGTAAACAGCTCAGCAAGTGTACAGAGAGTTGCACAAACTATGGATGAAATTCTGTTGGAACAACAGTTAAGATGCTCTCAACGTGTTTCAAACAGGCCAACAATATGCTGACGTATATTACTCTTTAGCCAACCAGCCTCTGTTTCATTCAGGAACGAGAGGCGGTTGCAGTGCATCGTGAAAACCATACATTCCTCATCCCAAGGGATGTGCCATTTGGAGTGTTCCCCTGATCCACTGGAACCACCCGAACTCGCCCAGGCTGAATGAACACGGCCAATGCTTATCCAATACAGAATCAAGTAAAACGCTTTGCTACAAAGGTAAATTTTCAAGGATATACTTTCATATGAAAGTCTTGTGGTCCAACTATATCTTTGTTGATGATAAGCTTTAAACTTAGGAATACGTACACTATCTATAACTGGCATTTACTCTAACTATTGCCCATCGTACAATGGCACGTGAGAATTCTATACTCCATACTCGCTGTATGGTTACATCATACAATCTTTGCAGTTTTAAAATATTGACTATATCGTATACTATATACAGTACACCAGTGATAAACACTGATTTGAAGAGAGAGATTTCTTTTCCAATTTTCCCATTCCTTATCAGCTCTGATGCATATATATGTAACTCTAATTTTGGTTTGTATGGTTTCCTCATGTTAAATTATTTAAACAAAACAGCCTGTTTTAAGAAGGGAAGGATTTTTTTCATTTTATTTGACCTCTGTTGCTAAATATATTATTCTGACCATTAACAAAGTAAAATGCAGTTACTTCTGAGAGATATGTAGCTGTCAGAAGTCTGAGAAACTAACTAGTAATGATTTATTTATGGAAGGGAAATGATTTTGGATGGATTATTTTCCAATTGTAAGACACCTGTGCTAACAGATGTTCTTGTACTCTTCATTTTCTCTGTTGAACTGAACAGCTATGAATATCCAAATAATTTGGTTTAGTGCTCTGTTAAGGTAGCCGAATAATCATTTCATAGTTCTTCAGGATGTTTTGCTTTTGTGTTTTGTCTTTTCTGTCTGCCAGCTCCCACTCTGTGCTCCTCAGAGTCTGGTAAGATCTGTGAGCTTTCCAAGTGGCAAACCTTCATCGCTATGAAATGTTAATTGGCCTCTCTGTGGAGGATGGGCTAATTTAGGGACATTGTAGAGCATCCTCCACTACAGCTTACTGCACCGGTGGGGGTGGAAGACTCGACTGCCTAGCATAGCTGCATGGGGTAGTTACAGCTCCTCAGGCTTTTCTTTCTGAAAGAAATAGGTTAGAAACTCCAAATGCAGGCATCAGGTGGTGGTTTCCAGCCCAAACGTGCATGTCTACAGCAAGCGCACTATCGCGTGCTACAACTACAGCTGACTTTCTCTTATGTATTTAAAACGGTTGCTAACTACAAGGTTCGAGGACCCCAGCTACATACCCTTTCTTATTCCTCCATCAGGCGGGCAGGGATATTCCCCGGTTGATAAGAGGAAGCAGGGTCCATATCTCTCCCGAGTGCCAGAGCGGGTAAAGGGCAGGCCCTCATCAGGCGTAATAGCCTGGTCTATGTGGGGACAGTCTTCGTTTGCCAGCGCCGCCTTGGCCACCTCACCATTCAGTTTCGAATCTTCAAACATATAAGCAAAAGGCTATTGAAACACTATGCACTGTTTATTCGAGTTCCAGCTGCAAATTAAGGGTTCACAGCTAACGAGTTCTACAGCGACACTATAAAAGGTAGCACATCTGTCCTAGACACTGCGTTCGTGTGCACCGCACCAAAATAAAATCAAGCCTGTTAAGTGGGAGGAGAAACAAGAGGTGATGGCGTTGGGTGTCAGAGCAGCCACCTGCACGTCCGCACAGCGGGGCGGCTCCAGAAACGGGCGAGCTTTGCTTCCCAGTCCTGCGAGCAAAGACTGCGGTTAGAGGTCGGGGCGCTTTGGCGTGGCAGCGGATGGAGCGCGAATGGCCTGCTTGTCACGAAGCCTGCTGTCGCTCTGAGCTTTGGAGAGGCAGTGGGCTGTGAGCTGGGTTTAGTATTTGAGTATATTCTGTTTGTGCTGATTTATACCTCTGTGCAATATTACCGAGGGGACGCGCCTGCTCCTCCCCTCCCCCAGATTCGCCCAGATTGTTTTAGACCGTTTCTGGTGTCAGTCGTGCAGAATGGCTGAACGGGTTTTAGGCACACAGAGTATGTTATGTGTGGAAACACGACAGCAGAATGTGGACTCTAAGAAAAGCAATCCATTTTCTGATGTTCTCTGAAACACACACAGTATTTGCAATGCCAGCACAGGACACTACGTACAGAAAACACTACAGCAGGCCAGGAGTTTGGAAAATAGATAGAGTAAAGTTTACTCTTGGCTGTAAGTAAAATGGAAATAGGCTGTCAGATTTGCCCATTTGCTCCACACATTCCCATGAGGATAGACTGAGCATAGCATGCTTTCTCTGTGTGACTTCTTTGACATTTATAAAACAATTTAAAGTGCTGTATAGTGTGGGGTTTATTTTAGAGTTTTAAAGTGCAGATTGCTGTATTGAGAATATACTCGTAATATGGCACAGCTTGATATGAGTATTTTGGCTGAAGGGAGCAAAAGACAATCAAAATGTGCTTTATAAAGTTTCACAAATGCTGAGATATGTGAACTGAGTGGTATTGGCAGCATCCTACACCTCGGTTGCACAATGCTTATTACCTAGAGCTGTAAGGCAATGGGTGGTCCTGCAGGATTTTAGGGAAAGATAAGCTGAGGAGATAGATAAACTTAATTTCAGCGCTTCTTCCAGATTCCCATACTAGCTTGTTCTGAGTGCTACACGATACTGTCATTTATTTTTCAGCAGTTTTGAAGCCAAGTAATAAAACAAAAGAAAAAATACATTAGGTAGCATTTGGAGATATGATTCTGCTCCTCTGGTTTCAGCTGGACAACACAGATGAGTAGTGGGCAAAAGCCTTTTCAAGTTCTATTTGTTGCTTTGCACACACGCACGCCCAGGCACACACAGATGGATATGACACACCCTGTGCATCTGTCCACACACCAGTAATTGCAGTCTATGCCCTTACTTTTCTCTTATTTAGATGTCACTGGTTTGTCACCACATAAACAGTCTTCTGCAGATCTCACCTCTGCCTCCTTTCTTATCCATGCACAATTAGCCAATTATTTCCCCTAAGAGGGAGGTAATAACATTTTGTTTTGTGAGCAATTAAAGAATTAGGTCTCTTAATACATGTGAAAAAGTGGTCAAAGCTAGAGGTCCATTTTAATACTTGTAGACACTGATTTCTGTAGGACAGTAATGTTTTAAGGTTGCCCTGAGTTGCAGTTCCTTTCTGTTTGTAATACTCACTGCTGTTTAATACCACTCTGCACAGAGGCCTGGCACGGCTGCCATAGCAACTGTGCCACTGCAGGTACTGAGCTGTTCATTTAAAAATCACTTAGCTGTGTTTGGGGAGAGCTGCTGTCCTCATGGGGATGAGCAAAGAACTGGGCTTCTTCGTAAGCCTCTACTGCTACAAGCTGATGGCTCTAATCCCAAAATGAGGGAAGCAGAGCTCTGCACTGAAATCACTGAGACTCCTGCTGCTACCCCTGGGGCTGGGTTTGCAAGCTAAGCTGTTGGGGACAGATGGGGCACCGCACTGGTCCATTCCTGCAGCTCAAAGCACCTCTGAGCAGAGTGGTTGTGGGTCAAGCTGCTCACTGGTAACACTTTTGGAAGCAGCTTGCAGGCTCTCTTGTGGTTGAATGACAGAAAACTGACCTTCTTGGAATGAATATCTTAGATTGCACTATATATCCCTTAGCAAGCTGAGCCGGGACTTGCTGCTCTTGCAGCCTCCTTGGGGTCCCATAGCACTGATGAATCTTTCTGTATACTTGTTTGAAATCCACAAGCTTCTTATTTTATTTCTGTTGATTAGGAAGAGAACAGAGTAGCTGGAGATGTGGACAAACCACTGAACTGTCCTACTAATGTCCCTTGAATATTCCATGCACGGGCCAAGCCCTAGGGTTCACATTTGGGATAGCAATACTAGTCCACAAGGATGATTTTGCTAAATATTTAGGAAGCAGAGAAGTTACCAGCACAGAAGACTGCATCTATTGCTGGTGTTTGTAAGTAAGTGTTAAGCAGAGTAGTTGTGTTCCAAACCACCATCTGCAGCACCTAACTCTCTGGAGACATGACTCAGGAGTCACGTGAGAGTTAATATGTGATTAGTCTGTTACGGGAATACAGAAAACATCACTGAGGTCATCAGCCCACAGTGAGAAGTTTCCATTGTTTTCATTAGCAGATCTACATACTGAACTGTTTCAGGAATGAGGGCTAAAGATGGAATGAAATGATGTTACTTTAGGTTGATTTCTCAAGTTTCAGTTTGCAGGTTTGCTTTTTCCAAGACTGACTTTGGCTTTGAGAGAATTCTGGGTAAAGCAAAACTACTGAAACCACTACTGTCAGGTGACTACTGGTCTAGTTATACCAATGACAACTACATCTAGCTGTTTTAAACTTCTGAGCCTTGGTTCTGCCCTGCCATATTCATACCAGTCTTTCCCTCCCTACTAGCAGAATCTGAATTAGTCTTGTATGGCATTTTTGGTTCTTTAGGTTCGGTTTCATGAAGAAAAGTCAATGTTATCATCTCTGGTTTACAGATGGATAAAACTACTGTGAACTGCCATGCCCAATGCTACATAAGAGGTTATTTACAACAAAACTTTCTGACTCTCAGCTTGGCACCTGATCTCTGTAGCTGTCCTGTCTGTGAATACATAGTTAACTGCACCAGCTTTAAATATTCTCCTGCAGAGATCAGGCTGAGAGGCTAAAGAAAGTGTTCAGCAGATCTCCCGGGTGAGTAGTTTGTTTCACAGCTACCTCATTTGTGTGATTTCTGCTTTTTTTTTCTCTGTCTCATGTATCTCCATCTGCAGAACAATACTATTGAAATGCCTTGGGTGTTTCTGAGCAAACACTGAATTTCAAAGTTGGGGAGAGGAATTCTGAAAAAAAAAAACCCACAGGAGATCTGGTGGACTTTGTGTTGGTATACTCGGCTTACTGTGGAGAAGCACAGTAGGGTCTTACCATGGACTTGCTGCATGGCTCATCTCTTTTCTCATAGCAGATGGCTGCACACTGTCATAGTGACTTTACCAGTGCTGCTGGTTTTGATTACAAGCTTGAGTCTGACATGGAATCTCCACCTATTTGAACTGCATCTTATGTTCGGAGTATCAGTGGACATAATTGTGTGATACATTCATTGACCTCAGCCTGTGCTTGGAAATGTGGCACTTGTACAGAAGTGGTTCCCACACTGGGAAAGTCACCCCAGTCCTTTCCCCCTAAGCAACCTTCCATTCTCCAGTGGCTGCCAAGAAACAAATTCCTGGTCTACCTTTTGTACCTTAGTTGTCTTCAGAAATTGTGTGGGGTCCAGGAATGGCCCCAACTCACACTGCTTGCTCTTGGGGTTGTAGCTGTCCCCCCTTTTTTTTTGTCTCCCATGTGTCTACAGAGCTGTGAAGTGATCACTTACACCAAAAACTGGGTGAGATGAAAGGCACTTTCATGGTGGACCATTCTTAGTCCTTACAAGACTAGAAATCTAATGCCTTTTCCAGTCCTTGCCAGAACTTCTGTAGGTTGTAACCACTTTGACTGAAACAGGGCTGAGAGAAACTCCATGTTGCATAGCACAGTATCCATGTGTATTTACCTGTGAGTCAGTCATATCAGGCTACATGAGCCATGCCAGATTCTTTGACATTGTGCTAAAGAAGATGGGGTCTTCTCAGCCCTAGATCAGAAACAACGCAATTAAGAGACATAGAGCTTTAATCACATTAGGTCACAGGCAATTTCTTCCAGAAGAACGCAGACTGTCTTCTTCCCAGCTACCCTCTTTTAAGGATCAAAAGAGACAAGCACCCAGCTTGAGTACCTACAACTTCCCTGAATAGCCATTTGCCACAGAGGCACAGGGGACTTCAGGGTTCAGCAGCTCTGTTACAAGGGAAGGGGTTGACAAGCAGAAAGGAGGTAGGAGCAGCTGAGTGCAAAAACAGGGCCAGAACTGAGAAAGAAAGTTGCTTGAAAGATTTAAGATCTTCCTGCCAGCAGACCTCGTCTGACTGAAGTTACATTCCACACCACCACCCACTGTACACCTAAAAATGAATCTACACCTTGCCTAGATCTCAGTTGTGCTCCTGTAGCCCTGATCCCAAACCTGGGACTACCATTATTACAGTCCCACTCCTAACCAGTTGAGAGTATCCTTTGGTTCTCATTCAGAGCCTGAGGGTCCTTTTCATTTGCTCATTTTAAACCCCTGTCGCTAACCCTAACACGCATTGCAGCTGCCTGAAGTCTCTTATGAAGAAGGATCTCCACAAGGTCCCTCACAGCAGAGAACTCTTATGTAGCTGGATCCCTGAAGAAAGCAATGGTACACTGTCCATTGAGTGAGTTAACTGCTCCTCTGGTTTGCTGTCCTCTCACATTTTTCTGGTGATACTAAAGGGCTGCTAATGTTGCAAACATCCGTTGTGTCATACTATGACAGGAAACTCTCTCGGTGTGATG